TGCAACGATTTTGGGGAGCATAGACAAAGGATCCTACATGCCAATATGGAGCATTAGTGACGCTGTAGGGAGCACTTATAAACTATGTATTTTGCTGTTTAATTTGGAGGACTTGTTGTTGATTTTCTTGTGCTTGATTTAATGTCTCACTTGTAGTAATGTATATCCAAACTAAAAAAAAATGTACAGCATGGTTTAGCCAAACTCTGAACACGTGCACAACAAAGCAGTAAATTTCAGCCAGCACCATTCATCATGGCACTCCCACATGACTAATTGGTTAAGTGAGAGTCTACCATTAAAAACAAGACCTACTTTGGAGCGTCTGAAGTATTCAGACAGACTGTAAAAAGCCGAAACAACCGCAGTCGGAGAGGCTGCGAAGGGACAGACGTGGTGTGTTTTGTGTTTTTTGACCTTCACCGTGTTTATAAAGAGCTGATGGGAGCAGAGGAGGAGATAGAGAAAGACAGAATAGACAGAGAGAGCAAAGGGATGAATGGAGTCATTGTCTGGTCTGTGCGTGTGTGTGTGTGCGTGCTGAATGAGGGGGCGTGTTTTGTGCGTCTCAAAACAAACTGAGCAATCAGTATCATGTGAGAGGTTAATGTTACACCAGGATATGGCGCGATCCTGATTAATAACTGTGTTACTCAGTAATCATTAGTGAACCATTCGTCAATAAATGCTGTTTCATAATTTTTTATCTACAATACTATGACACATACTTACTCAGAAAACTCACCTGGCAGGCAGTCATGTGTTTTATGTTGGACTGAATTATTAGCACAGTGACTGGCCAACTTTAGCTTACTACTTAACAAAACTTACTTAACTTACTACTTATAAGGTAACACCCACATAAAAATGATATGCTGCTAAATGTTTTTGCTTAAAACATCTGCCTGCTGTGGCTGAAAACAACATAAAGTGGTGATAGTGAACCAAAACAGTGAAGTTGTTGGCTGGAAAACCAATACAATGAGCTTCAGTTGCTATAAAGGGAAGTGCAGAGTCAGGGGCTAATTTTCTGTGGGTTCATCACTACAAACAATCTCTTTTACATACAAGTAGTTATATAATCCATTTTAAATATAAAAATACTGATTGGAGCAGCTTTAACTTGTTCATGATCAACTATCAGCATTAAAGCAACACAAACAAAAGTAAAGGAACATTTTAAAAAAATTGTGGTGGAAATCTAAGTTTTAAAATCATTGTACCAAGGCATGTCAAATAAAGTCTGAAAATCCTTCCTTTACTTTCATTGACACACCCAAAAAGTGATGTAATGGTGCACAATAGTGCAATGTGACATCATTGGTAAGTGTGGCAACACAAGTGCAATAAACTTTCAATCAATAGGGGTCAGTATAAGTGTTTTCTGCTCTGAATGTATTCAATGATTAAAATGAACGACAACTAATTCTATAAAGCAGCACTGGAAGTGTCTCAGAAATTGAGCAATGCTTCATACATGCATTATTTCTTATAACAAATAAAAAATGTAAACTTGAGTTATATTACACTTCAGAAGAGTTAAAGTACTCCACAAAGACCAAAACAAAAGAGGATCACAAATGGCCAAAGCAATTAAAACCACAGACAGTGAACAGGCGAATCAATAACAAAGTGATTAGAATATAAAACACTGTCGATAAAATGCAGACAAGAAAAGCAGCAGTAATAAACACTTCACCTTCATCCAATTTTATATTTTTTCAAGGCTTATTTTGCTCCAAACTGTTTCCTGTTTACCTTCGGAAGGAATCAGTTTAATTTCCCCAAAAACTGATTAAGATTACCTACTTACGAAGCTTCGCTGCCGGAGCTTCACAGCTACTAATCCTTGTTTAGACAAAATCCTAATTCTGCAGAAAGCTGGCACCCCAGGGGCCATGCAGAGGAAAACAGTCGGTTTTTCAAAACTGAATTTTCTGTTAAAAAACAAAGAGAAAGAAAGAGTGAGGATAAGTATGGGGGAGGTGAGAGAGATGGAGACAGTGACGATGGAAAATTAGGGACAAATCGTGCAAATTTGATGGAAATATGGCAAGACAGCGTGAGCAAGAGCAATTTGGATCAGAAGTCAAATGGATTTTTTAGAAAATTAGGAACATTGGACGATTTAAGAGGGAGATAAGAGCCTGAGAGCGACACTGACAAAGACATTGTGTCAAATCTAGGGGCGGAGGTTTGACGTCTGTGTGTATGTGTGTGTGTGTGTGTGTGTGTGTGTGTGTTTTTTTTAAGGGGGTCTCTGCCACCTTGGTAGCAGAGTACATTATGGCTGTTTGGGCACATTAAGGGGCATTAGCTGGAGGAGCAGCCCTGAATAATGCATGGTCTTTATTTATGAGCAGAGTGCATACGTCCTCTGAAGCGCAATGAACCGGGGCACAGACACATACACACACTCACACACACATATATAGAAAGTCCTCCCTTTTTCACTCAAATCACACAATTTGGCAACGTGCACAATACTTATATTTGTGTGAGAAAGCATGACTGTATGTGTGTGTGTGAGAGAGAGAGAGAGGGAGAGAGAGCAGCTGAGTGTGTGACTAACAGTATCTCTGAGATACCTGCAAATTCCTACATGCAGACATAAAAAGGCGACAGCAGACAGTCGGTGCACTCCGCTGAACAGTCCTCAGGTCTGACAGGGCAACCAATGAGCCCATTAA